TCTTTTGCCCCCAGGCTTGCACTGTCCCATCTCTCTTTAGCTCTCTCAAAGCCTTGGTGCTCAAACTTGCAAACAGCTGCGCCTACAACCTGCATATGCATAACTCTTAAGGTCTCCGTCCTTAGACTTGCATTGTGCACTGTCCCGTGTCCTCGTTGGCTTTTCTTTAGCTTTAGCTCTCTTAAGTCCTATGCATGAAGTTTTCTCAGCTTTGCTTTCTGAAGCCTGTTAAAGTTCTCAGTGCAGACTTTCTATCAACCCCTCTTTAGCATTTTCCCTTTAGCATTTTCCTTTTAACACTTCTTTTCCCTTCAGCAATTTTTCCCTTCAATAATTCTTTTCCCTTCCAAAAGCTTCCCACACCAAAAAGCCCAAAGTAAAGCCACGAAAAGCAAAAGCCTCTCTTCTTCCTTCAGGGGTCTTTTATAGCAGTGAACAGGGTGGCACCATGGGGAGTTGTGTGACATTGTAACAGGAGAAACCTGCATTCCTGCTTCTCTGAACACAGTTTAGGAGAGGCAGCTGTTTTGCCTTTCCCTGTTTCATGGCGGGGGTGGGGGGAGTGGGTGTGGGGGGCTGTGCCTATCTCGGGCTACAGGTAAAAGCAATTAACTGCATCTTGCCTTGCTGGTGTCCAGTTCTCATAGGCTTTAATCCGCTCCCCACACCTCCTCACCACATCTTCTACCTGTAGTGATATTGGGCTGAGTGGTCTAAGATGATAATTCAGAAGATTTCACCTGATCTGAGAACTGGACAGAGACACAAATTGCAAAACAGTAGCAAAATGTTATTGAAAGGAAAGGAAAGAAAAAGTAAGAAGAAGCACCCCAAGAGAAAAAGCAGTGGGCCTCCTGCCAGGTGGCACAGAAGCATTAATCCTTTGTTTAAAGACCGATGTATAAGTTTTAAGATAGGGGGAGGGTATAGGACTCCTGGCTGGCAGGTTTCATTAACACAGCCTTATAACAAAGCAAGGGGTATCCTGTGTATGTACTGATGCTAATTTCCAGGTCTTTAATTATATGTATGAGATTCGGCCAATATTCCTAAGGTCTTAAGTAGAGGACTTTGCCTAAGAGGCCAAATTGGGAGCAGACCTCCCTTTATCAGGCAAACCTGGTTCAGAGGCACCCCTTTGAAAGCTGTCTTACAAAAGTATTTACAGCTTCCAGGATATTTACAACTTAGAGGGGCTTTATCGCTCTAGAGATGGCTCAGGGCTGTGCTGGGTGAGTAGTGGGAAAAAAGTCTAGTTCCTTAAGAGAAACAAGAAGGGAGTTCCATGGCAGGTTATTTCTCCTTTGGTAGCCTGCCTCAATAGTGTAAGTAGGGGTCCACGTTAAAAACACCCTTAGTAAACCCAGTGTGGTGGTGCGTGCCTGTAATCCCAGCTATACAGGAGGTGGAGGCAGGAGCATTGCCAGTTTGAGGCCAGTCCAGGAAAAGTTAAAAATCCTAGCTGAGCCAGGCACTGGTGGCTCACGCCTATAATCCTAGCTATTCGGAGGCAGAGATCAGGAGGATTGCCAGGGCAAATAGTTTTCGAGACCCTATCTCAAAAATACCCATCACAAAAAGTGCTGGCAGAGTGGCTCAAGGTGAAGGGGCTGAGTTCAAGCCCCAGTACTGAAAAAAAAAAAAATCATAGCTGAGGCTGGGTGCCAGTGGCTCACGCCCATAATCCTATCTACTAAGATAGGCAGAGATCAGAAGGATCATGGTTCGAAGCCAGCCCAGACAAATAGTTCATGAGATCCTATCTCGAAAAAAACCCATCACAAAAATAGGGCTGGTGGAGTGGCTCAAAGTGTAGGCCCTGAGTTCAAACCCCAGTATGGCAACAACAACAACAAAAATCCTAGCTGTGAAACAAACTACAAATAAAAGGTCTTGAGTCATAGCTCAAGCGGTAGCGTTCTAGTCTACCATGTGTGAGGCTCTGGATGCAATTCCCAGCACCTCAAACAATAACAAAAATCCTTTAATGTGAGAAATGGAATCAGCATAATGATGGATGAATCACAAAAATATACGTAGTTTGAGGTTTACTCTTGATCTAATTTCATTACTGCTGCAGGATACTTCATGAATATTGAGTTATTATTAGCAAGTTCTATAAGTTGCCTGGAAAACATTCATCATGGCAGTGGAGCCACCAATGAGCAGGAGTAGGAGCTGTGCGGAAGACTCCATTACGTCATCCTCTAGTGTCACTGGAGAAAAGCAACTGTGTTGTAATGAGCTGTGAAAGCCAGGACTCTCCAAAGTCTTTATAAATAACAATGTCAGCATATCCGTGCATCACAGAGAGTGGATAATATGTACTTTTCATGTAACTTTCTAGGAATTGAAATTTATTCAGATAGACAAATATCTGTCATTTATTCTTGTTAGAGTTCTATTTTATAATCGTGGAAATCAATAATCTAATTTGAATTTACTTGCTCTTCTTACCATCATCTAAATCATTATTAAATGAAACCAAATGATATGCTTCTCCTCATCTCTAAGTGGAAGAGCACATTCAATTTATTTTAAAACATTTGCAAAGCAGCATCACTTTCGGAAAACACTTAATACTTGCCTGGCAGATTATCCTCTCATGGCTCAGTGCTATTCTTGCTGTATTATGGAGCACAGTGATACAGGAAAACCACAGGGGATTGAATGAGGAACATCTTCCCTGTTCCAAAGATGGGGAGGCCAAAGAGAGAGAGTCCAGACTTGAAGCTTCCTCTCTCTCCCAAAACCTGAACTTTAGTTAGGTTTCACCAACCTGACTCTCCATCTACAGATGACTTGGTTTGCTCCCGTTTTTGTTGCACTCAGGAACCAAAAAGTGCCCCTTCATATACAGCAGAGACAGACCCAGAGAGTCATAGTGGAGACAGAGCACCTAGCTGCAGGGCAGCCCTAGGCTTCAGTACTGTCTTCAGGGTTTGTGCTCAGCACTGCCTTTCCCAGCTGCACAGGGAACTGCTTGCCCTTCTTCTGTCAATATATGCAAGGGCCAGGCCAGTGAGGCACTGACAGATCAGAACAGCTGTCCATCAGTGGGCTAACCTGGGACTTCCCAGCTCAAGAAAAGCCCCACTTGGACCTCTAACTTGCCTCCTTCACTCTCCATTTGTCAGATGCTAAACAACGCAGGTACATCTAGAGGGAAACTAACCTATTAATGTACCTTTAAAGTGCTCTTTCCTTTTGTTTCAGCTGAAACTTTGTGGAGATACCCAAGCATGCCCAGAGACATTCTTATCTGACATTTTAACCTTTTAAATAAGTGCTACAAGACATTTGACTGAGCTACCCCAAAACACGTCCACCCCCTTTCCTTCTTGAACTGTGACCTTAAACTAATGATGCTCAGAAATGTTCTTCTTCCTGAGCAGCTGAGGAGTGTGCCTCTTCATAAAGTGCTTTCCTACAGGAATATGTATAGGCTCTCCCAATTAACTCACCACTTTTCTTTGTTCGAGGAGGGCATTGCTTTGGAAATAATTCCCATGCTGCCATTGCCTGCTGTGGGCAATAAATCTTACTTCACTCTTTTATGTCTTGGCTGTGCTTGTTTTTAGCTTTGCACTCACCAAGATGTAAACTCATTACATTCAGTTATA